TCACGTAGCTGAATTTGCGTATCTTAAATCGACTCCCCCCTGTAGTGTAGATGTACCCTAACTCTGAACAAAACTTTCTGGTTATTCTTTCAAAAGTTTCCAACTGAACATTGACTTAATACAGCTTTGAAACTTTACTGTGTAGAAGAAAAATTATGCTTTCCTTTTTTTAAAGTTGTTTACATCTAACAGTACTGTATTTACTTTTTTGGGGGGGAGGGGTTCTCTGCATCTGCCTGATTGTGTACTTCCAGTTCCAAATGAAGTGTGTGATTGACTGGTCAGTTTGTAACTCTGGTGTTCGTAACTGGGGTTCTAGCATATAAGCTATTTGCAATCTTCAATTTCCACTCCACTATGGGGGTCTTTTTGCAATTATTTTCATATAGAAATATACGTTAAAACTCAGTACAACTATAATAAAAACAGTTACTGTTATTGTTATTTTTTTTTAAGTACTTAACACTTATATTGTACTCTATCAGCATTGGTATTGTAAATTAGCTAAGCACCCCGGGTGCGATCCCTAATGGTGTACACTGGTGTAGCTCCACGGAAGTCAGAGCTATGCCAATTTACACCAGCTGAAGATCTAACCCCACATGAAGCTTATCTTATGAAGTTAACATTCTGCTATGAAGAAATAAAGACTAAAATTAAAATTTAGCTAATGAGTTAGCAATGGAGGCCAGATACACCTGACAGTGGCTAAGTACAATTAACACAAAGGGTTTGCTCTGAGCCAATTTACAGTATTGGGTACCTGAGTCAAAAACAGTACAAAAAAATTATCCAGTGGCGTCTTCAATGCTAGTGAAATTACATCCACTTCTTGCCAACTAAATCTTCTCTATATTTATCTCAACTTATTTAATAGCAAAATGTTAACTCGTAGCACTGGAAAATCAAGTCTTAATTATCCACAGGAACAAAAGTAACAGCACTATTCTATAGGATAATAGTTACTATAGTATATATTATTTAAAAAAAAACAAAGAAAATATTGGTATTGACTTGTATTTCTTTGATTTTCTCCTTCTTCACTTACCTGTACATAAAATTTAGGCACGCTTGCCAAGGCATTTGCTATATTTGCTAGGATTGTACTTGAAGGCGGTGGATATAGATATTTGAGGCAAGAGTTTATAGGAAAGGTTAGCCTGAGGAAAAATAAACATTGTAGAAAATTTTAAAAATCAATAAACCAGCAGCAACATCAAATAATCTTACATTCCCTGAACCCTACAGGTAAAATTAAAGAAATATTTAACTTCTGAAATACTTCTTGAAATACATCTTCAAAGCCACCTATGGTTAATAGAATATAGCACTCCATAAAATCCAGACATCTCAGCCAAAAAAAGTACAGCACAAAACTAAACCTTGAATTTCAGAACTGATCTCCTGTCCAGAGTTATCATACTTAATGATACAAAACAAAAACAAATAAAACCCAGTAGAAGGGATATTAAGCCTCATGTTTCAGGGCTTAAGCTGATCTCTGACTACTAGAGGTCAGGATGAGACCTAACAAAAGGGGGCAGATAGATTACTTCATCATCTGTCTCCTGCAGGGTTCTTAACACCTTCCTCTGAAGCATCTGATGCTGGCTACTATTTGAAACAGGATAGTTGGGCTTTGAGTCAGATCCAGTATAGCAATTCCTGAAGATTAAAATATGTTAACCACAACATACTGTAGACAACTTTGACTTTTCTTTCCTCAGTTTGTAATAGTTACAGTGCACCCTCTCTCCCCCCAATAAGCTGTGTGTGGTTACACATCCATATTAAGGCCTCAACTCCACCAACCCTTATGCACATACTTAACTTTACTCTCATGCCTAAAGTTTTAAGAATATAAATAAGTATTTAGAGGATAGCAGACTAATACAGTATCTATACTACGCCAGGAATACAATAGTTAAGAAGCCAAAGAATCAGTACTTACCCATGGCTGGGAGCAATTCCATTCTCTATTTTAGGACAGCTTGGCTCTTTTCGTTCTCTCTCTTCTTCCACTGGTTCTTCTGACCTGAAAAATAGATTAGTATTATTTAAAGTTGGGCAAAACTCCATGAAATACGTGATACACAATGCTTAGAAAACACGTTTCACATGTAACATTAATAATTTATTCCAAAATACAGTGGGTTAGTCTACTGGCCTTTACAACTTTTTTAGACGATGCTAGTACTGTAATTATAGCGCCTAGACCTTTAAGACTTGTCCTGAGCTCTTTAAAAAACCAAAGAAATCCAGAGTTAAATGCATCATTCCCTGCCCCCGCCCCCCACAGTGCCAGATGTTATGAAAAAAACAATGTCATATTACCTAGTGCTTGGAGGTTTGTACAATACCAAAGTACAAAATTGTGATTTGAGAAATATTTCAGCCTTATTACAATTGCTCTTCTTTTGGGTGTACAAGTCAAATGTTTATTTTAATCTGTGGTTGATTTTAATTTTACATAAACACAAAATTTGTCAGACAAAAGTTTTTCATACAATGTATAATGTAAGTAGTCAGGCAACCAGATAGTCAGATCTATTCTGATATAATTTAGAATTTTTAAATCTTGTGACCTGAAATCAGGAATTTAGAATTTTTAAGTCTTTCATTCTTTTACTTGATCCCCTAATGTGTTTTTGGAAATGAAGTATTATATGAAAGATTATAAAATGAGACCCAAACTCCTTGGTTATATACTTACAGATTTAGAACGAATGGGGCTAAAAAAGGCTTATACACCTCTACCCCAATATAACGTGACCCGATATAACATGAATTCGGATATGATGTGGTAAAGCAGCGCTCCGGGGGGGCGGGGCTGCGCCCTCCAGCGGATCAAAGCAAGTTCGATATAACGCGGTTTCATCTATAACGCAGTAAGATTTTTTGGCTCCCGAGGACAGCGTTATATCGGGGTAGAGGTGTATTTTGAAGAATAATTACACATTTTTGTATTGTATTCAAAATCTTAAAAGTAATTCAATAGTATTATGAATTAATCACTAAGGCCCAAGCCAGGTCATCCCAGGTCACAATGTCCAGGGCAGGAAGCTGGGCCCATCCTCAGGGGACAGGAGCCACCACTGTGGGGTGAGTACAGGGCAGGCTCATTCTCCAACCATCCCTCTCCTTCATGGACTGCCCTCTGCACAAGACCTGTGACCCATCTACAATCTTTCCATGAGCAACTGGTGAGTCAAGACCAATCATTTGGGAAACACTGGATTAGGGTACTATTCTATATAACGGTGGCACAACTGGACCTGAAGTCAAGTAATGTAGGCAGGATTTGGGCCTTTAGTCTAGAGATCTATTATTGTTCTTACTGTAGAAACTAAATTAAAATATGTTAATGTTTTTAAATGGACATGTTTTATTTTTTGACTGAAAATAAATGACAATTAAGATAGTGTGAACATTTTAAAAATGGTTTTTCTTATTATTATGGTCAAAGTTATAAAAAACTCTAAACATGGAAACAAGCTATTATGCACATACATACCTTTTATTTTTCTCTGAGAGTGAAGGTTGGCTAAGAACATGAACATTGTCTTGTTCCCTTGCAAATTCAACAACTAAAGTGTGACCTAAAAGTCTCAGCTGATGCAGTCTTGACAATGCCTTAAAATAACCACAATAGCAACAAAGAATATTAAGTTTCAGTTAAGTTAATAACTAGAAATATTTAAATACATTCCAATAAAAATAATATTTTCATCGTTTTTCAAGGCTCAATTTTTCTTCCTGACATTTTTTCACCTAAACTTCTGCTATATACAATGGAACAGGCAGAAGCCTACCACAACACTTGCCAACCTGGGTGGAAGTTGCTTTTGGAAAGGGAAAAGTAAACACATTAACTTTTCTGAAGTGCTAAGTCAAGGCTGTCAACAGTCAAAGTTTTAGTGATTACATGTTTTATTTTTAGCTTACAAAGTTCAAGCCTCTTTGGTTATAGCGAGTTATTTTTGAAAAATGTTGACATTGTATAGGAAAAATGACACCTGTATCAATATTAGTAACAGTCAGATATCCTTCAAATAAGGAAGTAAAATTTAATTATTAAGCCAAAATTTATTCAGCTAATCTGTTGCTCTCCATGTAGAACTTAAATATTCTATATTTATTAATAGATCAATGATTTAAAATAGACTTGTAGAACACCTGGAAAAACATGATATGATAGGGTCTAATCAGCACAGTTTCCCCAAAGGCAAATCATCTCTCACCTATTATTAGAAGTCTTTTAAAATGTCAACAAAGCAATGAATGAAACAAAACCAGCTGACATAATGTATGTGAACTTTCAAGAGGTCTCTGAGGGTATGTATGTCTACACTACAACAGAAGCCCATGTTTGAAGCCAGAGTCAGGCGTAACCCACTTTGTGTCTTCATTGCAATTGCACTAACCCAGGGCCTAAGTTCCCTCTAAGCTTCGTGGCTGGGCAGGGGCCCAGGGCTGTGACGGGGAGAGATGCCTCTCCACCAGCACGGACCTACTGTGGCTGGGAGAGGTGCCCTCCCTGCCGGCCCCAGCATGCCGCAACCAGGAGAGGAACCCTGCCCTTGGTCCAGGTCTACCAGAGCTGCCAGGGAGAGGAGCCCTCCCTCAGCCTGGCCCACCCCGACAGGAACTGTTGCGGCTGGAGAGGTGCCTCTCCCCCAGCCCTGAACTGCTGCAGCGAGAGAGGGTTGGAGGGAGTCCTCTCTCCCCACCGCAGCCTTGGGCCAGCCTGCACCCCATACCCCTCATCCCTGGCCCCACCCCAGAGCCCGCACCCCAAGCCAGAGCCCTCACCTCCTGCTGCATGCCAATCCTCTGCCCCAGCCCTGAGCCCCCTCCCACACTCCAAACTCCTCAGCCCCACTCTCATCACATGCATTTTGTTATGTGCACCAATATGAAGGTGTCACACATCACCTCCATATTGGTGCACATAACAAAATTAATTCCGCACATGGATGTAAAAAATTAGAGGGAACACTGCCCAGGTCTCAGACCCATGGTCCCAGGACCCCACGGGGTGGAGGGTCCAAGCTCGACTTAAGCAGGGCCCAAGCCCTATTGCTTTGCAGCGTAAACACAGCCCCGTTGACTTGGGTCCTGGGAGTCAGATGGAAGAATCCCACAGTTCCATGAGACAACTTCCTTAGTCCTTTCTATCCCAACCATCTACAATCCACTCTATTAAAAATGGAAGTCACCCATCCTTTGCAAACGGTAGCAGCTCAGATCAGCATTCACCCATTTTCTTCTGATCACTGATCTGCAAGTACACTATCAGAGAACCTTCTCGGTTTGCAATGTAGCGCGAACCAGTCAAACCCTTTGCACAGCGAGCTGCTTCCTGGTTGCGTACAGGGCAGGCAGTAAAGTTTTCCCACAGTGCACCACGGTTCTAGAGCTAGAGCAGCCATATTTTGTGGGGGAGAGGGGACACTAGGGACTCTGGGATATAGTTATTTTGACTCGGGTCTGTGCGCTGCACTGTGGATGCCAGAGTCCTAGGTTTGAGCATGGGTTATAAAAGTCTTAACCTAGGGTTAAAACACAACGTAGACACTCAATATCAGTGCACCCTAACACGGCTCAGTGGACTCAAGTCCCAATAATCCTGGGCTTAAATTGCAGTGTAGACACATGCTGAGAAATTTCTTCCCAAGAGGCTATTAAAGAATCTAAATAGTCATGTGGTGAGAGGGAAAGTATTGTCATGGATCAAAAACTGTCCAGTGAAGACTGAGGAACTTCAGGGATGTTTAACCAAGCTAGTCAACACAATGGCAAATGAAGTTGAATATTAATAATGGTAAACTACTCACTCACCTTACAGGATTCTAACCATATCAACTCAGGAAAATATGGGGGCCTCTACATACTCTACTCTGTTCTAAAACAGTTCTCAAATATAATACTCCTTTCCACACAACTCAAGGAAATCATGCTAGAACCCTAGAATCAACAGCCATGTTTAAATATGGTTGTAGTTAGCATGGTTCAAATCTCATTGCATATAAAACAATGCTCTAGAACCAAGATTCCTGAACTGTGAATTTATGAAGTTCTGGCAAGTCAGCAAGCATGTATTTTGGTGCGCAACTAGAGTTGATAACTAACATTTTTTCACATTTGTGGCATGACAATAAAAGAACAGCAGAGCCACTTGAAGCCAAGTCACTATTCAACTGACACATTCAATATCACTTTCTTGAAAATTATAGTACACAGTGTGGCCTAAAACTGTATTCAGAAGACCTGGGTTCTATCTCTAGCTCTTCCACTGGTCAGCTGGGTGACACTGAGAAAATCACTTCATCCCTCTGTGCCTCAGTTTTCCCAACTGTAAAATGGACATAATGAATCTTACCTCCTTTTTGAAGGAATATAAAATCTGCCAACAAGAAGTGCTATATAACATTATTATTACCTCTCTATCTTGTTCGCAAGGTGCCTATCAACATGACAACATCCCTGCTCTTATCAAAGTAGGGCAAAGATTTTTTCAGGGTGCAGTCCTGAATGTGCACCTGTGAAGTCCTTCAGCAAGCATTATAGCAAACCTTCAATTGTAGTTGGAGACACGCTTTATGTTTGCTATAACCAAACTGTGATATAACCTGCAGTATGAATAGCATGCTTATACTTGAAAAATTTTTTACTCTATTTTGCATCTTTTTCCCAAGCTCCCAATATTGGGAGATCCAGGAAATGTTAAAAGTTAGCTGGAAACTTAGAAAAAACATTTGCTAAAATATTTAACGAAAAGCCCAGTACAAACCTTTACAGCTGAATTTTCATTGGGGAAAGTAGCAAAAGCTGTATGTTTCTGGAAAACAAACATAATTATTTGTCTGTTATAGCTTTTTAGATCAGAGTATGAGAGATCTCAGCCATATACACACACTTTTGGACTACAGTTTTTTACCAAAGATTTAGCACTAGAAAATACATTTAAATTAGATTTTAAAGGTAAATTTGAAATTTTTATTTATAAAGTTAATTAAGTTATTTGCAGGTTTCAAGTTTTCTGGTTTTTAGTCTACTAAATGTATATTTGGGGCAAGAGATGGACGACCAGGGAGTGCATGGCTCACAAAAAGGAACAAGAGGGAGGAAAACAGTCAGCTCTGTGTCCATGAAGGCAATGGAGCTCTGCAAAGAGGTAGAGGGTTGTGGGGAAGAAGTGAAGATTTGCCAGTGTAAAATTAAAGCATGCTTAGTCTGTGGCCAAGCAGATATTGGGGAAGTTTATCAAGCCCTGATTTTCACATGAGTATACCATCTCTAAGTCATCATAATTGTATATTAGACATATTTTATGATACAGGCTTTTCTAGTGAATAAAATCTAAGTCAACAGTGCCAATTGGCGGAACATCTTCCTCAAAGAAATTCTTACCAACACTACTTCCCTGTGGCAAAGGCATCACACCTAATGCTATGTTCTGACATTTGGGAGGTTTTTCTGCTTATTTTCTAGCCTGGATGATTTACCTCTTTTTCCTAAGTACAAGCCACTTTTTCCAAAATGACAGGTTTCAGAGTAGCAGCCGTGTTAGTCTGTATCCGCAAAAAGAAAAACAGGAGTACTTGTGGCACCTTAGAGACTAACAAATTTATTAGAGCATAAGCTTTCGTGGACTACAGACCACTTCTTCGGGTGTATATAGTACATATACATCCGAAGAAGTGGGCTGTAGTCCACGAAAGCTTATGCTCTAATAAATTTGTTAGTCTCTAAGATGCCACAAGTACTCCTGTTCTTTTTTCCAAAATGCCTTCTCAGATTTCAAATCTGAAACAAACTATCATTTAATGAATAGTTTAGACTTCAGCCTAAAGTTTTATTAGCTGGCATAATTTTATATGTATATCTTGGAACAAAATTTTACTATTATTTTGGCATTTGTTTTGCATCTTTTTACAAAGATCCTACAAACACTAAAAACACATACTTAACTTTATTTTCCCAAATGGTTCCAGTAACTGAATTTTAGACTGAGGTTTAAAGACTATAGTCTGTTATAGTGAAAAAGCATTAAGGGTCTAACAGAAGATGATAAAGAAAATTCACATTTCAAGATGACAGACCAAATATATAACAGGGCATTGCTGCAACTACTTCCTGAATTGAGCCTCTCTATTCTGGAACATAAATTATTAAGTGCACTAGTTCAGGCTTTTAAATCATCTCGCAGTTTTTTAAAAACAATTTGGCTTTGTCACCTCTAACCAACACTCCACACATCTTGTGTCCATTTGCACCATTATAATAATTTTTGTCACTACAAAATTCTAAGTTAGAGTTTGAAATACCTTTATTTACTATAAAGGCCATTTTCAAATTCCTGGTTCAATGGGGTTTGACAACTTTTAACCCCAAACTGGAAACTCTGTTTTTACTCCTATGACCCTGAAGACTAGCCTCACTATACATCAATAAAAACTAAAGTTGTGTGGTTATTTTCAGAATGCTTTCATAATATTGGGCATGGGAATCATATTGCATAATTTTGGTGTATTATTTAGGGTCCAAACAAATCTTCTATCATCCATTTATCATTGTCACAACAAAAGCTTGATCCTGAAATAAGCTCTATGTGGACAGACCCCTGCGTCTCTCTGGAGGCCCACTGAAATCAACTAAGCTCTGTGTGAGAGCCAGTCAGGAATTTTTCAACGTTTTGAAGTTTTATGGGAACTTAACAGTTTCAACAAAACTTTATTTGGGTCCGGGGTGGGAGGATGCCCCAGAATAGCCTGGCGAAAGTGGCGATTAGGGTGCTCCGCTGTACTGTGGGAGACGCAGGTTCAAACCCCTGCTCTCCCAAAGGAACTGTTGCTCGCTATCCAAATTACATGTTCAGGGACTGGAACCTGGGTCCCTAACCACAGCGCTACCGAGCCCCATACAGCTCTAACTCTGCACCAAGCAGTGGCCAATAGCCAGAAGGTTCCTTCTCAAACATAATTAGTATGGAGCGGCACCGAGGCGGCCGGACAAGAACAAACGCAAAGGGGAGGTTTCAGAGTAGCAGCCGTGTTAGTCTGTATCCGCAAAAAGAACAGGAGTACTTGTAGCACCTTAGAGACTAACAAATTTATTAGAGCATAAGCATCCGAAGAAGTGGGCTGTAGTCCACAAAAGCTTATGCTCTAATAAATCTGTTAGTCTCTAAGGTGCCACAAGTACTCCTGTTCTTTTTGCAAAGGGGAGGGGAAGGGGGAGGCCAGTCCCCCCCATCAGGCACCCCGCCCCTCCCTACCTCCTCGGGGGCCGAGGCTTCAGGGGAACGACGGGACGGGACGGGGAGAGGTGGAGCCTCCTCCCGCAAAGATAGCGCCGTCAGAGCACTAGAGCAGGGGGAGGGGTAACCACGCAACCTGCCCTGTCCCGCCAGGCTCAGACGCTGCGGGGTCACCCTCCCTCAAGAGCCCCGCCGGACACGATCCCCGCCCCCCACCAGGCCGCTCCCGCTCCCTACCAGCCGCCCCTGGTCTGACAGGACCCGCACGGACGCGGCCCCGAAGTGCCTCAGCAGATCCTCCTTCTCCGCGGCCGTCAGGTCGGCGGGCAGGTGCCGCACCAGCAGCGTCCGGCTCCGCCGCCGCCGCCCCACGCACGGGGGCCCTCCCCCTGCCGCCGCCTTGTCCTCCTCAGAGCCGGGGGCCGCCATCCTGCGAGGTGGGGAGTGACCCGGGGTCAGAAAGGCCGTGCGAACCCGGCCGCGACACCCGGGGACGGCAGCTACCACCCTCGCGAGAACTCCGGCGGGGAGGGGCGGGGAACACAAACCTCCCGAGAGTCTGTGCGCTTCCGGGTTGGGCCGGCGCGCGCCCAAGCTGCTCTTGCTCTGCTGAAGAGGGGGCGGTCCCTTGAGGGGCGGGCATGGAGCGGAGCCTGGGCGGGAATGAAGGGATCCCGGGGTTTCGCAGCACTGCCGGAGCCAATAGCGATTGTTCCTGGCTCGCCGACTCCAGGGCCCGTGCAACCTTTGAATAATTTGCTTTTCAATCCCTTGCTGTGTGAATAGTTTGACACCAACAGAGAAGGAGAGGAACTTCCAAACACACATTTTAATGAAGAATCAGCTTGACAGGACACGTCTGAGATAATGTCATAGAAACACAGACAGTGCAGTAATATTGTAACATTGCATTTAGATAATTTCACTTTCCTCTTTTTTCATTTCTCCCTTCAACTTTTGGATAGTAAAGGTCACTCGTTCCAGTCCATGTGTCCCTCCACCCCAACTCACATTTAGTGATGCCCATATTAACAATGACAGGTTTCAGAGTAGCAGCCGTGTTAGTCTGTATCCGCAAAAAGAACAGGTACTTGTGGCACCTTAGAGACTTACAAATTTATGGCACCTTAGAGACTTAGAAAGCTTATGCTCTAATAAATTTGTTAGTCTCTAAGGTGCCACAAGTACTCCTGTTCATATTAACAATGTACAGAAGGGGATCAGATTAATATTAACCCAGCAAAACACATTTTCATGATTTCAGCTATAAATATTTCCTCCCATTTCTATAAACATTCAGTCATTGCCAGGCAGGGCAGGCACCAGGCAACCAAGCACATGCTTGGGGCGGCACCTGGTAAGGGGCGGCCAATCTTGAGGTGGTGGGGGGCAGCGCAGCGCGGCATTCTGCGGGGGGGTGGGGCGCTCTGGCGGCACGGCGCTCGGCAGGGGCACTCGGCTGGGGGGGCGGCATGGCGCGCGGCACTCAGGGAAGGGTTCCGGCGGTGTGGCGCTCGGTTGGGGGGGGGCAGGCTCCGGCGACGCAACGCGGCGCGGGGCGCGGCGCTCGGGGGGGGGTGGTCCGGTGGCGGGGGGTTCGGCGGCGGGGCACTTTTTTTTGCTGCTTGGGGCAGCAAAAAAGTTAGAGCCGGCCCTGTTGCCAGGCCAACCCATGACTTTACCTGGAGCCTTCCAGGCCCCTTATTATAGTTCTTCTAACTTAATCAATCCAGTTTGTACCAGTCTATTTGTCTCCAACTTTTGCTGACTTTTACAAACAATTTTATTTAAACATATTGAGTTGGACTTCTGTTACTTTGGACAACGTAGAATTAATGAGATGAGGCTGCCACCCCTTGTTGGACATTGTTCATCGGGAATGGAGTGTGTGTGTATGTTTGTGTGGGGGCGGGGGAGGCACATGGACTAGGAGGTGTGAGCTTTACCATCCTGGCTTCCACCCTACCATTTCCTGAATCCCGAGAGGCACCAGGTTGCTGATAGTTTAATTTAGGAAATGGTTGATGAAGACCTAAGTTTCAAAATCTTGTCTGCTGCAGACACGGGAGGCTGATAAACTTCATAGTTGCAGACCAGTACAGATTTTGACATCCCCTCGCTGGCTGTAATTGTGTGTGTCACTTTCAAAGTTCTTTACTTAAGAAGCATCTATTTCTAAAAAGGTTGTTTTTATAAGATGCTGGAGAGGAGAGAACAGAGTTAAATTGAATATGTCACTCAGCTCAGCAGTTAAGAATCAAATGGATAGAACAAATGAAATGTGGTACTGTCCCAAACTATGCCTCACAAGCTGTAAAGGCCCAATTGTGTGATAGATCCAAGATAAGGGAAGCCAAAAGTTATTTATGAAGGAAACTTGAAGTTGTGGAATTCCTTCCTTGAGTGTAAATGCTGTTTCTGTAACCACAATTTTCATGACTTTCTGTTTTAAAGAATTTAACAATAAGTGAGAAGCCATAATATTTGTGTGGAATATAGGTAACTTTGAGATTAAAGTGAAGTGAAAGTGAAAACACTTGAAAGCCACTCATATAGATGCACATTTTTTTCTCTTGTCTTTGGTAGGCTAGGAACCAGTCAAATAGGTCTGATTTCACTAGAGACTTCAGAGCTTTACTATTAAAGAAATCAAAACTAAACTAAATATGATCATTTTAACGAAGTTTTAAAAACTGATATTTTTGCAAAATTTTAAACTGTACAAGAAATTTTGAAACAATTTGAACATTGCCCCCACCTAGTACCAATGCCATCCCAAGCAGCTATTTGCAAACAAATTTTCTAAACACTGAAAGCAAGTTCACAGTGAAAATAACTGGCCAATTTGGAGGTGAAGTGAACATAAGTTTTCATGAAGTTTGAGTTAATATTCATGTTGATGCTCTTAAAATGGAAAGCATTTCTTCATGGGCATAGTGCATAATGCTTTTAGATCTTAATAGATTCATTCAGTTCTCTTGCTGAGGTGTTATTTCCTGATGATAAATTCACAATTTTGAATTGGTGCTAAGTCGCCAAGTGGCAAAAGGAGTTACATTTTCTATTCAAGAAACGTTCTTTTTCATAGTTGTAATGTATAAGGCCAGATTCTCCACAGCATGGGTCTGTTGCACCAATCAGATGGGAATAAAGGAGCCATAATCTAGCTGCAAATTCCTGAGTAGAACTGTGCCATAGCTGAGCATACACCTCTGTCCAGGGCTTAATTTGTGCCACGGCTGACACCTCTAGGTTTGCCAGTTCATAGTTCCAGCACCTCTGGGCTTGCTGAATCAGTTATGAATGTAAAAAAAATTGCTTGAGTCCCAGCACCTCTTTCATTACAATTTAAGCACTGCCTCTGTCCCCCTTTCCCAGCTCTTCTCCAGCCTAGGAAGAAAGGCAGTAGGAATGGGAAATGGCATAGCTATGCTATGTTACAACAATCCTCCATGACCTTATAAGCTCCATTGAGGATCTTCCATCAGTGGCACAATCTAGAGCTGCATGACAACAGCTCTAAATCCTGCCAGGATCAGCTCTAAGAATCATAGAGTTGTAACTGGCTCTCTGAGGGTCCCATCTCTGTTGCACTGAGCAGATCTCTGGTATAGGAGATAATCTTGCCTATAGTGTTTAAGAATAATATTGGCATAGTTTTAAATTCAAATCAGTTCCTCTTGTTCAAGAGTATCAAACATATTTCTGAGTAACTCCAGCATCCCTTGACGTCCTATTCAAGACAGAAATCACCACATTGTGTATTGCAGGACCGGCTCCAGGCACCAGGCAACCAAGCACATGCTTGGGGCAGCGCCTGGTAAGAGG